TCATATGCATCTCTTCCTTCTCCACCTCCACTTCCAATTCTTGTTGAGGACCCCATTTCTCTTGTTCTAGTTTTGACCAAGCCCTTGCCTCCAGTGCAGCTTCCTACTGAATGACCACCCATTAGGCAAGTGTATACGCATTGACATTTATCGGCTCCTCCAGTTTCTTCACCATTGACATATCTGGCAGTTGTTTCCGCACTAGTTTTGCCCCCTCTTTCTGACCTTGATCCCATTGCCTTACAAAAGGGTAAATGTAGGTGCACTCTTCATTCCATTTCCAATTATGTTTTTGTGTCTCACCTTTTTGCTTCCCATTGGTAGCTTGTTTTTCTGCTATCTTTTGTTTCTATTTCTAGGAATATCCAAGAAGCTCTTACCTCTCCCAGGTGGCTCCAAGCAATGGAAGAAGAACTCTCAGCTTTGGCTCATAATCATACATGGGAGATCTTACCACTCTTCGTCTTGGCAAGCATGTTATAGGTTGTAAGTGGATATACATTGTCAAATACTTACAAAATGGTAGTGTAGAGAGGTTGAAGACTCAATTGATTGCAGAAGGTTACTCCCAATTATATGGCATTAACTACACAGAGATCTTCTCTCCTGTTGCTAAGATTGGCTTAGTCTGTGTTTTGATCTCCCTAGCTGCTATGTATGATTGGCCTTTCTTCCAGCTCAGCATTAAGAATGCCTTTTTACATGGTGACCTTCTTGAGGAGGTCTATATGGAGCATCCACTAGGGATTGTTGCTCAAGGAGAGGATGGTAAGGTGTGTGTAAGAAGGCCATTTATGGACTTAAATAGTCTCCATGTGCATGGTGTCGTAGATCTAGTGAAGTGAAAAAATTTGGCATGAGACAGTGTTAGGTTTATCCTTCAATATTTAGCTATGATTCGTGTGTTGAGAAGATTTAGTTGGTGGTATATGTAGATGACATTGTTATTACTAGTATTGATAGGTTGAAGACATTTTTGCATTATTACTTCCAAACAAGGACCGTGGTAAGTTAAAATATTTTTGGGGGATGGAGGTAGCAAGGTGCAAGGTTTAAAATGTCGATGTCGATGGAAATGTCGCTTACCAAAATATTGGACATATGTCGGAAATGTCGAGGGGAAATATTGTAAAGATATTTTGTAAAATGATAAAAGAAGCATTAATACATATTTCTAGACTATTATCTTATTCCCAACCATTATATAAAGCTAAGAAACTAAGTTCAATAACAAATTAGTAAATGATGACTTACTGATTTATTATGCATTTTGATGTTTTTACAAGGTTATCTGATATTTTCTTTTCCTATTTTTAATTCTGATTTATTATAAATTCTAATATAATTATTTTACACTGGTAAATAGAAATACATTTATTCTGATTTTTTTAAATATTAAAGTTATAATACATTATGTTTTATTATAAATTTAATAAACTGATTCTCCTTTTTGTTGTATTAGGATTATGATAAATTCTGATTTCTTATAAAACTTATTGAATTTATTATGATTTTTAATACTAAATTTATAATAAATTATGATTTAATATAAAATTTATTAAATTTATTCTGATTTTTTATATTAAATGTAGAATATGGTTTATTATAAAATTTAATAAACATTTTCTGATTTTAATAAATATTTTTAAAAATACTAACTAGTTAATATTTTATTACTTGAAAAATATTTTATGTTTTATATTATAAGTAATTAATATATTCTTTTGTTTTTATATTTTGTTAATTCTGTTTTATAAATATTTTATTTGAAATATTAAATAGAAATTATTAATGGAATAATCTTTATTAATATATTGTATTATATTAATATAATATACTAACATATTATATTTTTAATGTACATTAGTCGACATCTTGTCGACATGATAGGAAAAACTGTATTTTTTTTGGTTATTTGGACCGATTTGGTCGACATTTCCTAGATTTCGGAAATGTCGACCGACATAATGTAATTTTTATATTACCATCCATTTTCATGTCGGCGAGCCTCGACATCGACATATGTCGGGTGACATTAACGACATTTGGCGACATTTGAAACCATGGCAAGGTGTAAGCGTGGTATTAATCTCTGCCAAAGGAAGTATGTTCTTGATCTATTGGAGGAGACATGTTTGTTGAGTGTTAAACCAGCTGAAACACCCATGGAATTGAATGTCAAGTTGAGTAGTGATGTAGGTGAGGAGTTTGAGGATCCTGGAAGGTATTGGAGGTTGGTGGGAAAGCTGAATTATTAGACCATTACTCGGCCAAACATAACTTTTGCAGTTACTATAGTAAGCTAGTTAATGTAGAATCGTTGGGTTTCACATTAAGATGTAGTTTTAAGGATTGTCCGGTACTTGAAGGGAGCTCCAGGTTGTGGCTTGTTATATAATAATGAGGGAAGTCTTGAGATAGAATGCTACATTAGATGTTGATTGGGTTGGTTCAATATTTGACTGATGGTCCACTACAGGGTACTGTACAATTTGGTGACATGAAAGAGCAAGAAACAGTGCTGAAGCTGAATATAGAGCCATGACACACTACATGTGAATTAGTATGGTTGAAGAATCTCTTACAAGAGATGAGGTACACAATTGATAGCCACATGAAGCTGTATTGTGACAACCAAGCTGCAATAAGGTGCTCAATGGAGTAATACATACTGCATATGTAAACACAGGAAGTCAATGGCTAGACTTGTTCACCAAGGGGTTGAGTTGATTACATTTCTAAGCAACTGGGACTATATGACATATACTTACCAGCTTGAGGGGGAGCGTTAGAGTCGGCTGTACATTTAGTCATTTTATTTTATATGAAGAGTGTGTTGTAATGTCTTTTATATTCTGGTTTAAGTACTATGTCCTATAATTAGGGGCATAGGTGTCTTTGTATCTTTCAATCAGAAACATATAAATAATACCTGGCCGACTAGAGATCCTTCTTCTCTCTAGTTTGAACCAGTTTTCTCTCCTCTTCTTTCTCTCTTCTATGCTATTATTCACTTCTATTCTAGGGCTGAAACTAGTAACACTGGACTTGACCTAAGGGCTTTGCACTTTTCCCCGTGGAAAGATATTGTTGGTATCTTGCCTGCCTTCTCTCCTTTCATTAAGTATGATGCTTGTGTGGGTAATAAGATTCTTTTTTGAGAGGACTTGTGGATTGGGGAATCTCCCCTTAAGGATAGATTCCCGAACCTATATTCCCTTTCTTTGAAAAAGTTTCAATTTATCTCTTCTTTTCGTGTTTCTGGGGATTCTTGGGATCTGGGACTAACGAGAGGTTTGAATGACTCCGAAGTGGGTTTGGCAGATGATCTTTTTTTTTTCTTCTAAGCTCAGTTTTTCTAGACCACTCTTCTCCTAATAATAGAATTTGGACTGAACCTTTTTTTTTTTTGATAAGTGATTGAATTTTATTCAATAAAATCAATAAGATATTACAATACAGCCTTCCCAAAGGAGGGGCACGAGCTTCATTTTGGACAGAACCTTCTACAAGTAGTTTTTCTTATTCTTCATTTTTCAATGCTACGGTCCTCTCCCTTTTAACCCGGTTACCTCCTTTCTTGTTAAAGAAGTATGGAGCGCTCCGATACCCCCAAAAGTAGGGATTTTTGTTGGGAAATGGTTCTCCAAAAAATCAATACCTTGGAAGTGCTTCAAAGAAAGAGACCAAATTGGTGCTTGTCCCCTCGTGTCTGTAGCCTTTGCTTGAGGAATGGTGAGACGGTGAATCACCTATTAATTTCTTGTCCTTTTAGTGCTCTAATCTGGGATTGTTTCTCCTCTATCTTTGATTGTAGGTGGTTTCCCCCCTCAAGCGTAGCGGAATTGTTTGACCCTAGCTTTTTCTGACAACCAAAGAAGAAAGGAAGGGTGATGTGGAGAACAACGAGGGCAACTATCTTGTGGGCGGTGTGGGAAGAGAGAAATAATAGGATTTTCCAAGGGAAAGAAAAACCAGCTCCTGAAGTTATTGAAGGGATCACCATCAAGGCAATACATTGGCTGAAAACTCTTGACTTGTTCAAGGATGTCTCCATAGATGATTTGACTAGAGCCTGAAGTATTTTAGCAAGGTCTTCTACTTCATCACTTATCATACAAGCAGTTTGGTCCCCTCCTTTGCAGTGTAATGTCAAACTGAACTTTGATGACAACTCTCTTGGGAACCCTGGACCTTCTGGATTAGGGGGTGTGTTCAGAGATGCGGGAGGAAAAATCCTAGCTATGTATTCTGGTCCAATAGGTTTGGGGGACTCGCTTAGAGCTGAAGTGTTGGCTCTCCTCCAGGTGCTCAGATTGGCCAAACAATTGGGCTTTCAACAGTTAGAAGTGGAGGAAGATTCAAAATTATTGTAGGTTGGCTGTAATCAAATAGTATGGGAACGTGGTCCCTTAGGCAACCTATAAGGGAATTATTGAGCCTCACAAGGGAGCTGGGCGCACAAGGAGGTCAGCAAATGCTTTAGCTGACAACCTAGCAAAGCAGGGGTGAGTCAAGTGGTTTTATTTTGGGCAGTATTGTAAGTTGTTTTTTTATTCAGGGGTCACCTTTCACTTTAGAAGGTCACAGTTCTTCTGGTTTTAACTAATGAAAGTTACCGTTTTCTATAAAAAAAATCAGTTCTGTAACAACCTTCTTTAGTTGTTAATAATTTTTTTGGCATGCTCTATTAAATACTTAATATATTATTGTATTATGTCTGAAATTAGTGTTGGTTTTAAACACCGGGTCCCTCAAAATTTACCAGATTCATGATCTTTAAAGTGATGGACAAAAGTACTTGCTAAGCTAAAAATCTAACTGTGGCCTTAGTTACAAGTGATCCTTGTACTGACTACTGATCTTTTTCCTTCTGTTCATTTTGTGCAATAGCATATGATATTTTCTTTTTCTGGAAAAATTTCATGTACTTCCATGTTTTTCAAATTTGCCATGCCTTTTCATTAGCAAATGGTTGCTTGCCATATTTTGTTTGACAGGTTTACGGAGATGAGGAGTGGTCATTTGGGTTCTGTGAACAAGGCACTGGAGTTTTCAGTTGTCCTTCCAGTAAGAATCCAATGTATACCCACCGAGAACACATTGTCCTTGGGAAAACTAATTTTCCAATATTCAAGGTAAATCAGATTCTGCGGGAGCTCAGCAGAGAATGGCCTGGCAGCTCATATGACCTATTATCGAAAAACTGCAACCATTTTTGTGATGAGTTCTGTGAAAGACTGGGGGTGCCAAAACTTCCAGGTATTATGCTTTATTTTATTTTCCTATGTTTTCAATGAAAATGTTATCTTATTTGCAATTTTGTTGTATTCTCTGAAGTTGATATAATAAAATAGGAAATTAACCTAGAATTTAGGGTTTTTTGTCAACTTTCATCACCTAGGCCCTCCACTGTTACCTAGAATCACCCATATGCCTTGACAGTTTTGGTATTCTGTTTGTCAAATTAACGTGGTTAAGTTTTTCTTATAGTGTTTTATTTAATTTTATTTTGTTGATGGCATGCTTCTGTTATGAATTATGTTGCTAGTGCATGTCTAACTGAACATTTATATATTCCATATTGAATTCGACATGATTCTTTTACAGATCTTTCCTTTTTAGCAGTTCTTAACTGGTTGCGTCACAATCTGTTTGAAAAGAGATTAGCACAGAACTCATTTCACATCTTCAAATTGGATATTTGTGCTGATGGAGAATAAACTCATCTTAGCCTTACATTATTACCGCTAGCCGATAATGTAATTTCTGTTCTCATCAAATTAAATCAGGTCTAACTGTTGATAAAAATTCTCAAACGAAAAAAGAAAAATGTTATTTGTACATTTTAAAAATTTCTCAAGTTGTTCAGAATTATTGTTTTATGTATAATTTAGAAAACTAAGTCAATTTTGTTAGGAGTAAACTAAGTTGCTAGGTATGTTCATTCATTATGATTTTGGAAAGTGAGGCAGAATTGAAACAAACGTGACTGAGGGTATGTTGTGGATGTGTTCGTGGGGAGGATGTACCGCCGCCGGCAGCAGCAGTGAAGAGGGGCCCACATGGCAGCAGCTTATCTTATCAGCTCCTTAGCCAGCAGCTTATCTTATCAGCCAGCAGCATATCTTATCAGCTTATCTTATCTTATCCTTAGCAGTCTCTCTTATCTGTTCTTACTTTATCTATTAGAAGAGTAGTAGGAGTTTGATTTATCATAGGGAAGCCTTATCCTTCCCAAGTAGGAGTCTTATCTGTAAGCAGTCGAATTCAACAAGGAGTCTTCTTACAAGGAGGACTCTCACCTCTTGTAATCTCCTATTTAAGGAGCTGCGATTTGAAAATAAAGGCATCCAATTTTCAGTCAAGAAATGAGTTGAGGAGAGTTAGGGTGATCTCTTGGACAAGTCACCCCTTAGGTCGCCACGATAGGGTCTGCACGCAAAGGGAGGGGCAAGGGGAAGCTAGAGGTTCTCCCCATGGACCGACCCGTGACGAGATCCTACGCCCGGGCCCACAACAGGGTAGTTGCTGTTTTGGTATCAGAGTCGAACGTCATGGGCGATATGGAGCAGCTGTCATCCAAGGTCCACGAATTGGAACACTGACTCGTGGAGAACCACACAGAAGTACGAGAAGTCAAGGAAGATGTCCGGGAGCTTCGTCGCCTACTAGAGTCGTATTTCTCCACCAGGGAGAGGAGCCCTGAAGGGATGACAACCACCAACAGCTGCCGACCAAATTTGGCGGAATCATCCGGCGAACGACAGATCGCCGCCCCAACAGCAGCAGTCATCCCCAAATATAGTAGGCTGGAGTTCCCTTCGTACAGCGGTAGCGGAGACCCACTAGGATGGCTATACCGCTGTGATCAATTCTTTCGCAATCAACGTACGAAGGAAAGAGATAAGGTCAGTCTGGCCGCGTTTCATCTAACAGAAGAAGCACAACTCTGGTTCTACCGAGTAGAGCAGGAGGAACCAGGGCTCAACTGGGACCAATTCAAGTCCTATTGCCTCCCCAACACTGGAGACCATACTTGTGGGGAAGATCCTTCGTCGTCAAGACAAATCACTATAGCCTCAAGTATCTACTAGAGCAGCAGCTTACCACTCCACCTCAACAGCACTGGGCGAGACAGTACTTGGAGGTTTTGTGTGGATTACAGAGAACTCAACAACAGAACCGTCAAGGACAAATTCCCGATTCCCGTGGTAGACGAACTGCTGGATGAGCTCCACGGATCTCAGTACTTCTCGAAGCTAGATCTCAGATCGGGATACTTTAAGGTCCGGATGGCCCCCGAGGATGTGGAGAAAACAGCCTTCCGAACGCATCATGGTCACTTCGAATTTCTAGTTATGCCGTTCGGTCTCACCAACGCCCCATCACACATTTCAGTCACTGATGAACGAGGTATTTCGGCCCCACCTTCGCAGATTCGTCCTAGTATTCTTTGACGACATCCTAGTCTACAGTAAATCATGGGTTGAGCACGTACATCACCTATTGACTGTTTTGGAACTACTGCGCCAACACAAGCTCTTTTTGAAGCGGCCTAAATGTTCTTTCGGGGAGCGCCATGTTCTTTATCTAGGACATATAATCAGTGGGCAAGGTGTCACAGTGGATGGCTCCAAAATCCAAGCAATTCAGGATTGGCCCAAACCTCAATCCACCAAGGCTCTCCGCGGGTTCCTAGGATTGACTGGGTACTACCGCAAGTTTGTGCAAAATTATGGATTATTGGCTGCCCCACTAACCAATATGCTAAGGAAGAACGCATTCCAGTGGGATGAAGCAGCTGACGCCGCCTTCGCAAACTTAAGGGATGCACTCTCCTCCACCCTCGTGCTGCAGTTACCAAATTTTGACCTGGAGTTTACGGTCGAATGCGATGCATCCGGTATAGGTATTGGAGCAGTACTACAATAGCAAGGACACCCAATAGCCTTCTTTAGCCGCAAACTGGTTGACCGACATCTAAAGCTACCGGCCTACAAGCGCGAGTTGATTGGACTAGCTAAGGCCGTGCAACACTGGAGGCCATACTTGTGGGGAAGATCCTTCGTCGTCAAGACAGATCACTATAGCCTCAAGTATCTACTAGAGCAGTGGCTTACCACTCCGCCTCAACAGCACTGGGCGAGCAAACTACTCGGGTTTGATTTCTGGGTAGACTACATGGCGGGGTCCTTAAATCGGGTCGCAGATGCCCTGTCCAAACGTTACGAAGATGCTATGCTCCTTTGTGCAATTTCTCGGCCCCGCGTCACCCTGTTAGAAAGCATTAGAAGCACGCTGCCCCAATCATCGGAATGGAAGGACCTCGTTCAGAAAATACAGTCCGGAACGACCAACCTGAATTGGTCCATTCACGACGGGCTAGTACTATACAAAGGACGGATATATCTCCCAGCCGACTGTTCCTTAATTCCCTCCGTCATCTCCAGCATACATAACTCCACACATGAAGGCATTCAGAAGACATTGCATCGCATCCAAGCCGATTTCCATTGGCCTGGTATGAGGACTTCGGTTCGGGACTTCATCCAGAATTGCTCCACGTGCCAACAACAAAAATGGGAAAACCTGCATCCGGCAGGCCTTCTCCAGCCTCTTTCACTCCCAACACAAATCTGCGCTGATATCTCTATGGACTTCATTGAGGGCCTACCCAAGGTCGGCGGGAAATCGGTCTTATTCGTGGTGGTAGATCGCTTTTCCAAGTATGCTCATTTCATTCCCCTGTCCCACCCGTATAGCGCGGTTTCAGTTGCCCACGCCTTCTTTACACATATTTTCCGTTTGCATGGGCTACCTGAATCCATCGTCAGTGACAGGGACCCGGTTTTTACTAGCACCTTCTGGAAGGAGCTGTTTCGGTTGCAGGGTACAACCCTAGCCTTTTCCTCCGCCTACCACCCTCAGACAGACGGGCAAACAGAGGTGGTAAACCGAACAATAGAGATGTTACCCCCGTTGTTTTGTGGGCGACCAGCCCCTGGATCCCCTGGACTGATCTTCAAGACGCATATCCAGATCTCGAGCTTGGGGGGACAAGCTCGTTGCCCAGGAGGGGTGTAATGTTGTGGATGCGTTCGTAGGGAGGACGTATCGCCGCCGGCAGCAGCAGTGAAGAGGGGCCCACATGGCAGCAGCGTATCTTATCAGCTCCTTAGCCAGCAGCTTATCTTATCAGCTTATCTTATCTTATCCTTAGCAGTAGTAGGAGTCTTATCTATTAGAAGAGTAGTAGGAGTTTGATTTATCTTAGGGAAGCCTTATCCTTCCCAAGTAGGAGTCTTGTCTGTAAGCAGTCGAATTCAACAAGGAGTCTTCCTACAAGGAGGACTCTCACCTCTTGTAATCTCCTAAGCTAGAGGTTCTCCCCGTGGACCGACCCGTGACGAGATCCTACGCCCGGGCCCACAACAGGGTAGTTGCTGTTTTCTACTTTTCTGCAGCCTGAAGTTATTATTGGCTCTTTTCTGAACATGGAATGTGGATGGGACTCTGAGATAGTGATGACTGATGACCAATGATCATTTATAGTCCAAATCCAAGTTTAAGTTTAATTCCTTTTTTTCTTTTTTTATTTTCCTTTTGTCGTGTGTAGATGCAAACCAGCAGACTTGTGTCACCTTTGCTCTCTTTGCTATTCCTGTGGGTGGGGGTGGAGGTTGTTTCTATTATATTCATATTCTTACAGTGAGGCATGTTACTTTAGTTTCCTAGTAAGGGTGATATTTTTAAATCCCTTTGAGTGCTTGTACTCATCATCCATGACTATGGCAATATTTGAATGAGGAAGACCACTTGTAGATTTTGTACCATAAGAAATAGACAGGAGTTTTGAATACATGTTACCCTGAACAAGTCTAAGGTGAGTTTGTGAGGGGAAAATTATCATGAGATTGGTTCCAAGTATGACAATATAGCAATTAGTGTGGTGCTTTTAAAAATGAAAATAGTGACTTGAATACATATTCTGCACTCAACAACTACATAATTCATATGTGGATGATAAATAGTAAGTGGTGGACTGGAAGTGGAATTAGCCAATCATCTGTTTGTACACTATAGGCTGGCCAAAACAGTATAGGGAAGGTTTATAGGCCTTTTAAAAGGTGGATGGTTGCTTCCAAGTTATGCTGGAATCACTGTTGCATGAACTTAAAAGGATTACCCAAAAAAGGGAAGGTGATATGGAGTAACATTCCAGTAGCAATATTTTGGAATATTTGGAGTTAGAGAAATTCACACATATTCAAGAACATGGCATGCAGTGAAGAGGAGTTGATGGCTAGGGAATCTGGTACTATTATCTTCCGGGCATCTATATATAAAGAATTTTTTGGAATAGCTCGCAGTTCTGTTTAGGTTTTTGAAAATATGTATGCTACACTTACAAGTCCTATTGTAGAGTGTTGTAGAGTTTTTATACACGGGTGCATGTTTTTGCTATTTTATTAATGAAGTATACTTTATCATCAAAATAAATAAATAAATGAGCGGTGGCAACCATACATGCGTTTCCTCGTTCTTTTACATCAAGTCTCTTCTAATGCAATATGGGATTTTTCAGATTGTTTAGGACAATATTTGCAAACAGAATCTATAATGAAAATTGTGACATTGGTTTTTCAGAAAAGTTGCAAGATTAATTTTTTCATTGGCTTCATTTATCTTGACAATCTATTTTAGATTATTTATTGGATAGAAAAAGATGACATTAGCTGCAGTCCACTATGCAGAGCATGTTCTAATGAAACTTCTTTCTTTAACAGCTTGGGTTAACCGGTTTGCCAATGCTGGTGATGCTGCCATGGAAGTAGCTGGAAATACTGCATTACGAGTAAGGTTCTTTTTCATGTTCTTGGATTTTTTTTTGGTATAACCTGTTTCTGGATGTTGGTTGATATACTTTTGGCATGCCATATCCTTGTTGATTTTTATTATTCCTCCTTCAGTTTTTTTGTTCTCTAACAAATTCTACTCCCCATTCATCTGCTTGTTCTATGTGGTCACCACCAGGCCTTGGATTTATAAAGTTAAATTTTGATGGAAGTAGTGAGGGTAATCCAGGTCCATTAGGTGTAGGTGTCTACAAAGATGAGAATGGGAAAGCGACTGCAATTTATTTAGGTCCCATTGGGGTTGGGGACTCTCTAAGAGCTGAGGTTTGTGCTATACTAAAAGGCATAAGGAAGACAAAGGGGTTAAGTCTACAAAAGCTAGTTGTTGAAGGGGATTCAAAGTGGGACAGTGTATGCCCTTAGCTCCAATTAGATTGATGTACAAATACATTTATTGTAAATGAATAAAAGTACATTATTGTTTCATGTTGGTATTGGTATAGTTCTATGAAATTACCCCTTAAATTGAACACTTATGAGACTCGTGTTAGTTTATAATGTTCTCAGCTGTTAGATAGACTTTGGGGGTTTATCCTGCCAAGGCTGACATTGATGTGCTACAAAGAAGTTGGTGCAGCTTGTCTTAGCTACTAGAGTTAGACCCGAAACACATGTAGTGTGTATTTGGATGAAACACTGAACCCGAACCATTTTTCAGTTATGCTTTGGACCTTGGAGATTGATGGACAAAAGTGAAAAGTTACACAACCCCTAGACTTGATTATGGTGCTGCATTAGGTGTTGGATTAGACTATCTTTGATATGCCAATCAGTGAGATCCATCAAGGGTTAAAACCTGGGTATGTTGGGGTAGTATGAAAATTCACTTGTGTGATCATAGTGATAGGATCGGTCCCTTTGTCGGACAAAGTGAATGATAGGGTTTACACTGTATGGAAACCTAAACTATCGGCAGTGGATTTTAGCTGTGTATGAGAATTCACTGTGTGACCATAGTGTTTTATGAAAATGTTTGCAAAATGTTTTAATTCTTGGGATCCATCTGAATAAAGATTGTGACAACCTTGCAGTCGGGGGAGAAGTCCTTCCCTATCGGGCAGTGTTTGATCATTATGGGCCAAGAGGTTAAGTGTAAGAGACTATTAAGTGTTGATTACTTGATGGGTTTTATCTTACTTAAGTCCATTATCCCTGGGTTTTTAAAGGATGGTTGGATTCAAGGATCATTTAAGTGTAAATTTTGGGCCCATATTGTGCCCATAGTGATGTGTTCAGGAGTTCACTGTGTTTAGTAGTGAATTCGGCCAAGTCTTTTCATAGAGGGTGGGCCGAACCCATGTGGATTTATGTGTGGTCATTGTGGGGTTCCATGCCATACAAATTAGGCCTAAGTTGGTCATGCAACACCCTTGGGTCATGAGCCTTATAGCTGATGGGCCTAAGGCCCATAATTAATATGATTAATTAACCTGCCACATGACAACTTTGTCATGTGACATGGGGTGAATTTGGGTATGGAACACCTAATCTTATAAGAAGATTAGTATATCTCTAATTAGATTCTAGATCTAATCTGGATTATCTCCTAATTAGATTAGGAGATAGCTCCATAAGTGATTATAAAAGAGGGGCGGATTAGTCCAAAATAGCTTTATATTTTGCAGTTTCTAGTTCTCTCTATACCCTTTTGTCTCCTAGTTTTTTCCCAGTTCGACATTAGCTATCAAGGACTAATACAGATTAGTTTTCTTTTGATTTTTTCAAAGAAAAATTTAGAGGAATTTCAGGCTGACCTTCCCCAGTTCGATCCAAGCAGTTGGGTTGCAGTTTTGCTAAAAATTGTGTTGTTCAATCAACTTCACTTATACACTGTGCCATCTTCCATGGAGGCTGGTTTTAGGATTGATTTAGGCGTGAACTTTCACCATGGGATCTGCGCTTGTGGTATCCGTATCAGGTACAAATCTCCCTCTTTGTTTGGTTTCAAATCCGGTCCGGTCTAGTGCAAGACCGATCCTGAAAAATGTAGTTTCTCAAAACATAGGCAATTCGATTCCCAGAAGGATTAGGAAATTTTTGAAATTTCGCCCAGCCATCTAGCATGGTTCGGCCATCCATATGATGGATCCTAACCCTTTCAACAATTTGACAGTATGGCTTGGATTTTGTTATATGGGGTCTTTTCTTATGTGTCCCATTTCAAAAGTTTAATTCAATCATTTGGTCCTCTAGGGCAGCCTTTTTTGGTTAAGGAAGTCTGGTGTAAACCTATTCCACCAAGGGTTGGGAATTTTTATTGGGAAGCATTCTTGGAAAGATTCATTTGTAATTTATTTTAGAAAAAGAGACCTAATTGTTATATATCTCCTCATTGGTATGTTCTCTGTAAGCCTATGTTATATACCTTGTGCCACAGCCTATCTCTTTGGTGTGTTCTCTGCAAGCCTATGGGTGATTTACTTAACATAATTCCCTAAGCTTTTTGCCCTTTCAAATCTCAAAGGTGAAACTTTCTCTAGAATGGGAACACTTTCTCCTCAAGGAATAAATTGGGATGTAAGCTTCAAAAGGGGCCTAAGGGAAAATGAATATGCTTTTCTTATCCACCTACTTGGTCTTTTGGAGACAGTGTTTTTGGATGAAAACCTTGAGGACTCTAGAATCTAGTCAGCTTCTCCTGATGGTTTCTTCTTTTGTTCTTTTTTCAAAAACCTTACTTTTCCTACTTTAGGGGTAGACTTCTCAGTGAAAGAGATTTCATGTAAGGTTATTCTACCTAAAATTCAGGCCTTCAATTGGAAAACTTTCCTTGGAAAGATTAATACTTGTGATACGTTGTAGAGAAGGCCTAATTCTTGCCTTTCTCCTCATATGTGCTTTTTATATAGGGCTATGGCGGAACTCTTTCCCATCCCATTTATTAATCTCTTGCCCTTTGTACATTGCATTTGGGAGTATTTTTGTTATTACTTTGCAAGGAATTAAATTTTGTCACATATTGGGCCATATCAGCTGATATGTATCTTATCGGTGACCCTCCGATATGCCCCTATACTAAGTGTTAGTGTCTGACCTATTTTCAGGGGTTAGACAAGCCTAAACTGACCCCCTGAACTGGTTTGAAAAAAAAAACAAAAATAATAAAAAATAATAAAAAAACAACTAAAGATACAGGCCGATATGCCCCATCTGGTGTGTATTGATATTTTGAACCTTGTTATTTTGGTTGCAGGTGCCCCCCCAACCCCAAGATATGGTTGGTATGAAAAGAGGGAAGATATTGTGGAGAGTTACAAAAGGGGTAAAAACCTTGGACAACTTAAATGGTATCTTTAGAGCGTGGACAGAGGTGGCACAATCCTCTAGAGAAAAAGGAAAGATAAGAGTGGAATGAAAACCTCCAGAAGGGAACAAAGTAAAACTGAACTTTCTTGGAAGCTCCTTTGGAAATCTGGGTATGGCAGGAATAGTTGGTGTGTTCAGGAATTCTAAAAGCAGGATACTGGCTCTATTTTTAGGACCTATTGGAATGGGGAACTCATTGAGGTCTGAATTTTTTACTTTACTGCAAGGTCTTCGATGAAGGTGGAATGGGATTCAAAGTTAATTGTTTCAATGGCTAACTGTAACAGACATACTCTGTGGACTCTTGGACATGCTTTTATTGATTCAGAAGCAACTTTAGAGTGAGTTCATAAATGCTGAATTTAAATGGGGTTGGCAGTCCTGTCTCCTATATGTAAATGAATGTCATAACTCAATCCCTAAAAATAGGGGTGCTCACAGTTCGGTTAACCGAACCATGTGCACTTTTTTTTTAAACCAAACCGGTACCACCGGTTTTTCAAAAACCGTGAACAAAACCGAACCAAAATCAGTCAGGTAAATGGTCCATCAGTTCGGTTCCTCGGTTTTTATATTTACAATATATATTATAAATACTACAAATATATATAATTTGTTATATATATATTATAATGCATGTAAATCTATAGATAATGTAATATGTGTATTAGAAATACAGTATATATAGATATATGTATATGTATGTATGTATATATACTAGTAAGTGTGCACGTGCTTTGCACGTGGCAATTTTTATTTATGATGATGATTATAGTAAATAATTTGTTTCCAAAATTTTCTACATTTTTTTATATTTATTCTTTTTGTTTAATATCATAAATATACAATATTAGAGATGTGTCCAAATGTTTTCTACAATTTTTTGTATTTTTTATACTTTTGTGTGTTTTCACCTTTTTTAAATTTTATTAACTATGATATCAATGGTTGACACTTTTTGACCTAAAAGGTTGAATTGTTGGCTTGCCACCAAACAGGAAAACAACTCCATTTTTGCGTTGCTTTTGAATTTGTATTTTATTTATATCATCAATAAAAATAATTATTCTTTGTCACACTTAGTTTTCTTTAATATAGGTAATTAATATAGGATTTGATGAAAGAATGAGAGTTAATACCCTAAATATAAACTTAAAGAGAGGGAATTGAATGAGGAGATATGTGGTAGTTCAAATTACATTTTGTGTCCTCAATTAGAGAGGGACCAAATTCAAAAATTGGGGTATTTTAGTCAAACAAAAGTTTCACTCTAATACATACATAGCATAGATACATACATATATGTGTGTGTGTGTGTGTGTGTCTAATACATACATACATATGTGTGTGTGTACACATACCGGTCAGTTAACTGTTGGTTTTTCTTCTAGGTTAACTGTAACTGAACCAATCGGTTTGGTTAACTGGATTTTTTAGTTCGGTTTCCTTGGTTCAGTTTGGTTTTGTGTTTGTTTGGTTTTTGTTGAGGACTCCTACCTGAAAACCCACCTAGGATTTACTGTTGATCAAATGAATATTCAGAGTTTATTCCAATCAAAATATAACATTTTCAAGCTAAAAAAGTTGTAAATTCAAAGAGGGTAGGAAACTGACCTTTACCTCAGATTTCTCC